ACAGATGCCTGAAGAATACATGTTGTTAAGGCAAATGTTATTTCAATTTTTGCTTAAGTTTGTTTCCATATACAGTGTACCCCCACTCTGAAGCTACATATGGATTTAATATAAAAAGTATTAAAATCCTTGTAAATTGTTGCAACTTAGCATTAAACACTAAAAGTGTCTAAGAGTTGCATATCAATATGAGGTTTCTACTATCCTTTCTATGTATTTTTTAAATAAGCAGTTTTACAGGGACTGAAAAAGCAAATCCCCACCTATTCTTCTTTAATGGGGAGGGGGAGAGAATGCCTCCCAAGTCAACTCCACATTGTTTGAAATTTATAATAGGAACATAACGTACAGTTATGTTTTATGGAAGTACAGAGGTTGCTCAATTCATAGGGTGTCCATGTAAATCTGTTCAGGGTACAGATTTACAGAACAGGGTAAATCTGTTCTTCAGATTTAAAGAATATTGCCTCATAATGGTTCCATTTGAAGGACTCGCCAGTCTAAGCCCCTTTAAAGGTGTTTTAAGGAGAACAAGAATGTTCCTAAGAATGGGAATTTGACCTGAGTGATAATTAGTTAAGCAGATTGTAAAGCTATAACTTAAAGATTTATTTGAAGTACATTGCAGGGATAGGCAATGCTTAGTGATATTCTACGGGCAGGAAGCACATGTCCAAATGGCAAGTGATTGAGCACCCCAATCCCTTTTTCACATATAGTGATGGCATGTGAGAATGACCTTGGAAGACCTTGTGAGACAACAAGATTCAACTAAGGGAACAGGCTAGCTTAGCCCACAGCAGAATGTGGGAGGGGCCAGTGGCTCAGAAAAGACCTTTCCTAGTTTTGGGACTGTGAAGGAGACGGGGAAGAAAAATCCCTTCATATTTGCAGGATTCTGTTAATATAACCTTACAATAAAGTAGAATTAGCTCATTTGGTCATGTTTCCTGTCTGATTTACCTCATAAGGCTAATACATATTCTATAAACATCATGCAAACAAGGGATGGATTTTTTTCTTTGTTTTTATTATTTAAATACAAAAAAAAAATACAAATGTATAAAAGGGGGGAGCTGAAAAAACATACAACAGATGAGATAGGAGAATGAAGTGAGGGGAGCACTCTTTCTAATTTTTTAGACTTTTTTTTTTTTCATTATCCTTTGACTATGTATATTTTACTTTTACCTATTGGGGTTTATTTTGGCTTGTATGTTTTATTTAATCAATAAAAAAGAGGTTCAAATAACTGCAAAACTTTCTATAGATTTTAAGTGACATCCTTTTCAACAAGAAATATTTTTGAGGTCAAATTTATTGCATTTATGTGGTAGAGATGCCATGAAATTTACATTTTATTTAAATCTACTGTTCTATTTTGGTAAGATATATATATATATTCCTCTTTGAGATTTAATATTTGCTATCACATGAGAGTTGACTTCTGAACAAAAAACATGAACTTACAAGTCGAAAGACTTATTGTACAGTACTGGAAAAACAAACATACGCTCCAATTATTCAATGGTTTGCAGAATTGATTAATGTGAATAATTATGATTTCAGTTTATTGATATCTGTGTGACAAGGGGTGGGCCTTTGATTGCCTGGTTGCACCCAGCATTTTTATATCATTAACCATTCTTGCTGTCAGCCCTTCAAGGTTTTTCAGATCAGGAAACAGACTCCATAAAAAAACTAGAACATTACTTGATTGAGTTAGTAACATAACAGAATCCTGCAAGTCTGCATACTTCCTTTCCTCTTAGACCCAGGGAGTCAGGGAGGGGCCAGTCTGAATCCCTTCCAACTACTTTCCTCAGGGCTCAAGGAATGCATCTGCATCTTTTGTTTTTGTAACAATTTCTGAATATTTTCTCCAAAGATATTTCCAGGATTCCTTATACCCGCAGGCACCTAGAAAGCACTAAATGAATTTGTGTCTGAGAACAAAAGAAATAAGTTATCTGAGATTAGCAGGCTCTTACACCAACAGCAAGTAGTGGCAGGCAAAGAGATAACATAGAATAACTTCAGTCATTGAAGTTATGTTTCCAAGAAAAGCAAGGAAGCAAAAGTAGGGAGAAGGACATATTTGTCTTTGTCCTGCCTTCCCACCTGAAGGCAGGACAAGAAGCAATAGATGAAAACTAATCAAGGAGAGAACCAACCTAGAACTAAGGAGAAATTTCCTGGCAGAACAATTAATCAGTGGAGTGACTTGCCTACAGAAATTGTGGGTGCTTCAATACTGGAGGTTTTTAAGAAAAAATTGGACAATTATTTGTCTGAAAAGTCATAGGGTTTCCTGCTTGACTTGGACTAGAAGATCTCCAAGGTTCCTTCCAATGCTGTTATTCTGTTATTCTCTTTAAGGAACTTGAGGTGTAACACCAGTTATGAAGACTTGTACACCCAGTCCTAGATTAATATTACAGATGGATTCCTAAAATTGAGATGGAGGAAGACACTATGATAAGTACTGTCTAATATTATCAAGAGGGAGTCACTTCTGTCATCCAGGTTTCAAAAGAGGTCATCTACAGGAACAAGCAATATTATTTTCATCCCATATCTAAGCCTGAATCCTGACTAGAAGAGATCCAGATAATGTTCTTCATTTCTGATCCTCTGTAGACAATGCCTCCACATTCTGTAGAATCTTTCTCAGAAAGAGAGGATTGGGACAGAAGTTCATCAGGTTCCACAAGATTTGTAGGAAGTTAACACCCACCCTTCTCCTAGGAAAATGAGATATTAAAAGGGCAGAATATTTCCCCTAAAAGGGAGGCAGAAACTCAACCCCCACCCCCACCCCTTTTGTCAATGGGCCATTATGGCCTGGGCCAGTCTATTCTACATAACAAAGATCTACCTCCTTCAGGCAGAGCCATAGTAGGAATTGCCCAAAACCCTTTCATTACGTCAACACCCAGCAAGAGTCAACCAAGCTTGGGACTCAAAAACACAACCTACAAAGTTACCCCTGCATGGCCCCATGACAACCAATCAGAATACAAGCTCAAATTCAAATCCCAACAGAGGGTTTAAATCTCTCTCTCTCTCCCCCCCCCCCACTCCATGTGCCTTTTTTGCCTGGGATCTCAAGCCATGTGATCCTGTCCACCATTAAACCATCTTTCCAAGCAGCCACCATGAATCCAGTGTCTTTTCAGTTCCACTTGGAACTGAACCCAGAAGAATTTTTCTTCCAAGAGATAAATCCCAGATTACAGTAGAAGGCAGAGTCTTAATCAAATAGCCTAACTGCCCAATTGAGGTCCAGATACAAGTGAATATGAGTGAAAACATACAATCATCACAGCAGCCTGCAAACATCATGGCTCCACCTGACCTTCCCTAAAAGTCTCATGATAACACTATGCAGAAAAGGTAGATAATAATTCTTAGGTGCAATAAGTACAGGGAAAGAAGATACTTTTCCACGCTGAGAAATCTGGGTAGGCTTTCAACATTTGGTAGTTTTACTGTACAATAACGTAGTATTCTTAAATTCTTGTGGTGTCTATTTCCTGACCTGGCCTACATTAAAGCACCGATAAGAAACCATCTTGGTGGTGATAAGTAACACCAAGCACCAAATAATCTTCTTAGTGATAAGTAATTGGGATAAGAATCCTAATAATGCATTCCTGGGTGAAGTGATGGGCAATTAAATCACTAGCAGGTAACCGGAGGCCTTCTGTCATGGAGGAACATCTTGTAAATATACTGGACAAGTGGGCAACTGACCTTGCCCACTTGCAGAAAACCCCACACTTCCCTAGGCTTTCACTTTTATGGTATGTAACACCAAGAATAGAGGGATTCTAATCCATTAACATATTTATTTAGTATATTTAATCTAAGGAAGAAATTGCAGTAAAGGTAACACATACACAATCAAGCATGAAAATGACTTTCAGCTGCAAGCTGGAATGAGATAAAACCAATGTCCTAAGGATGTGTCATATTGTTGGAAGAAATGTCCTTCTGGGTTCAGCTCCAAGTGGGGAAAAAGACACTGGAAACATGGAGACTGCTTGGAAAGACAGTTTAATGGTGGACAGGATCACATGGTTTGAGTTCCTGAACAGAAAAGGGACAAGATACAGCGAGTCCCCGGGGTTTTATGCTTTCTCTGGCTTTGAACTTCCTGGGGCCCGAAAGAGTATCCTGATTGGTTGTCAGACTCCCAGGGGGTGGAGGTCTTAGCTAGCCTTGCTGGCTGATGTAATCTTCCCAGGTGCCATGTGGAGAGTTTCTGTCCTAGATGGGTCCTATTGTGTTGCAAATGATGGTCCATTGACAAAGATGGGAAGGAATTGAGTTTCTGCCTCTGGCCCATTAACAAAGGGCAGGAAGGCAGGAAGCTGCTTTGTCTTTAAAACATGTTTCTCCATTTATCATCCAGGGAAATATAATATTCTGCCTTTTTAATATTTCCTAAAATATTTCATTCTTCGAGGAAAGGGGTGGGTGCTAACTTCCTACAATATAAAACAGTAAAGTATTCACACTGCAGTTAGGGGAATAGCAATAGCACTAGACTTATATACCGCTTCATAGTGCTTTACAGCCCTCTCTAAGTGTTCTCTAAGAAACAGCATATTGCCCCCAACAATCTGGGTCCTCATTTTACCGACCTTGGAAGGATGGAAGGCTGAATGTAAAGATGAGTTCACCGTCCTCCCAACTATGGGGAGAGGTATTTCTATTTACATGAAAACAACCATTCCCAAATTTGCATGCTAATTTTTGGAAACTTTTTGGGTAATATATAAATTGCAATAGGAAGTAGGGGTGTAATCCACTTTTTCTTTATGGAGAATCAGCTTCTGAGCACCCTGCATGAGCCCATGCTACCCTGAGAGTGCTGAATGCAATCTCTTAAAGTGGTATCCCTCTTTTTTGAAAACTTCTCATAACCACAAAAGATTTGGCTTGTTATTTCAAAAGAACTTTGCCAACCCAGCTTGTCTAGCAACCCAACTTACTTTTGGAAAGTGGTAATTGAAACAGATTCCATTCTTAGGATTCTTGCATTATAATACCATGAAAAAGTAATTTTTCCTTAATTACCCCATCCTCTGTAGACCTGAAAGAGATTAGAAAAAGATTACAATGTGCTATTCCAACTGAATTACAAAAAGCATTGCACATAGCTATCCCATTAACTTCAGAATGCCAAATGTATTGTAAAACACAAAAAAGTAGACAGTAATTTGTTTACAAATATGTTAATGTGGTAAATATCATACTGTTTCTTGCAATCAGTGAAATTACTGATTGCAAAATGTACCTCATAGCATAGATTTCAGAGGGCAAAATTTGCCGTTAATATACTACTTTTATCTTGTGTTTTACTGCTTTGCAGCATAAATTGCTAATCACAAATTTACCTTGATGATATTGGCAATGCACACATGTAAATGAGGTTTTTGTGTTTGTTTGTTTATTTATTTAGTTTGTTCGGTGCTAGGATAGGATACAGTTAACTTACAACAGAAATTCAAAGACTTGAAAAATATCCAGACTTAGTGAACTGTTATAATGCAAGAATATTATGATAACTGTTTTGCTAATACAGGTAATCCTCAATTTACAACAGTTCATTTAGTGACTGTTCAAAGTTACAATGGCACTGAAAAACGTCACTCATGACCATTTTTCACACAATAGATGTGTGTTACTGTTGCAGCATCCCTATGATCACATGATTTACATTCAGATGTTTGACAACTGGTTCACATTTATGATGGCTGCAGTGTCCCGGGGTCATGTCACCATCTTCTGCAACCTTCTGACAAACAAAGTCAATGGGGAAGCCAGATTCATTTAACAACCGTGTTACTGATTTAGCAGTGATTCACTTAACAAATGTCTCACTTAGCAACATAAATTCTGGTCCCAATTGTGGTTGTAAGTCAAGGACTACCTATATAGACAATCTTCTTAGACTTCAATGGAGCAACTGGAATTATTATTACTAGAGATGTTTATGCTGGAAGAGCCCTTTCTTAGTTAATTTTGCATGTGATACAATCATGTCTAACTCCAACATGCTTCCCTAGATACCATAAGCTCTATGTAATTCATTGAAGTGAATCAAAAGTTTGTTTTGATTCAAACTTTTAATAATATTTAAAATGTATGATATATTAAATTAAAATATGCACATGACATTCTCAGTATGAAGGCAAATAGGCCAGCTTAGCTTTCAGCCTAGAAAATGAAGATTTGGGTGTCATTGTCTCTCTTTTGAAATATTTGTTGAATGTAAATGGACATGTCTTTCTAAGTCATCAACCCTTCCTTATCTTAATGTTCCAGTAGTTCAGTGGCAGACCTCTTAATTGTATAAAAGATCCTAAATTGCATCCTACTTTGTGCCCAATAAATCATTCTTCCCCAAGTTGTGTAAGGATGACAACGTTTAGAATTCCCTGGCAGCAAAGGAACTCTTTTGAAATGGCTGTTTAAGAAATACACAGTTGTGGTGATAGGCTGAGGCAATATTTCAGATTTGAAGGAGAAAAGATGCTGTGAAATACAGAGGGGTGTGAACGTAACCTATCTTAAACAAACCATTATTTTTCCTGGGATAGCTCTGCAGCTTGGATGACACACAGTTGTTTTAATGAATTTCCCCACATGCCCCCAGGTACATTTTCTCTTTGAATCTAAAGCATTGTACAATTCTGAGAATTACAGTTTGACTGATTAGAGGAAGGTGCTGTTATTTTACATACTGATTACTTTTGTGTATCGTAAGAAAGTATTTTTATTAACTGTGGTTTAATAAATACTGTAGGCCTTAGTTGGCTGGATTCATGCAATATATTATGCCAATGTCAAACAAATCAAATATATGAAGCAACTATATCTTATGATTCCCAAAAGTGAATTTCTAAAAGTTGTACTGTAGGAAGTTAGCACCCACCCCTTTCCTGGAAGAGTGAAATATTTTAGGAAATATGAAAAAGGCAAAATATTATATTTCCCTGGGATAAGCATGTTTTGAAGCAGCTCCCATCTTCCTGCCCCCACCCTTTGTCAATGGGCCAATAAGGCTCGGGCCAGTCTATTCTACATAACAAAGATCTACCTCCTTCAGGCAGAGCCATAGTAGGAATTGCCAAAGATCCAACAAAGATAGGATTAGCCCTCTACACAATAGCAGCAGAAACTCACCACATGTGACCTGGGAAGCACATGTGACCATCAGCCAGCAAGGCTAGCTAAGACCCCCACCCTCTGGGAGTCTGACAACCAATCAGGATACTCTTTCGGGGCCCCAGGAAATGCAAAGCCAGAGAGAGCATAAAAACCCAAGGACTCCCTGTATCTGCCCTTTTCTGTTCAAGAACTCAAGCCATGTGATCCTGTCCACCATTAAACCATCTTTCCAAGCAGTCTCCATGTTTCCAGTGTCTTTTTCCCCACTTGAAGCAGAACCTAGAAGGATGTTTCTTCCAACAGTACCTTAGGATAAAAGATTCTCAAGAGGAAGACCTCGTACCTTGTGATGCCCTGAAGACTATTGTATTGAGCAGTGAATTAAATATTCCTCAGAATTCAGCAGTAACCATAGTTACATCACCTTCCACACAGGATTGTTAGAATAAGACCATCTCACCTCAGATCTTGACTTTTTCATTTTTAGAAATAAAAATGTATAGGTCCTTTCTACCCTCATAAAACTAAATTATATAGCATGTAAACATTCAAGAATGAATGATTCAAGAAAGGATGGATTGCCTTTCAACTCAGCAGTGAATCAAGGGCTTGTGTCATCCTGAACCCCCATCATTAAGTCATCTATTATCTGATTTTCTGGAAAGAAAAATTCAGACGACTTGCTGCTAACCTTCCATAGAGGACAGAAGGCATTTTATCCTGCTCTGCATTTCTTAATAGTTTCAGAAATAAATGTTCTTGTGCAACTGGGTCCCACATGGGGAATATTTTGCAGCTCACTAGGCAAATGTGCAGAAATCTGAAGTAATAAGTACATGGATTGAATGGGAAAAGCTTGCTTCTTGTATAATATTTGAGACATAAAAAAAAGTTAAGTCAAGGAACACTGGAAGGTCCCAACAAGTGATGAGAGAAATTAACAATCCATAAATTAGAAGCAGAAAAAGTGAGTGCTGATTGGCTACTCTGTTTACTTACTACTACCCATTTCTATGAACAAACTCTTGCTTAAAATGAAAGCTATTGGATGGGATATGGGGAAACAGCCAGGATGCAAATTATGGATGTCTTAAAAATGGCACAGTGCTTTGACAAAGATGGAAAGTGTCAGTAGATAATTAGTCTTGGTGTTAAAATATTGCACTGAAATATTGAACTTATGGAGACCCAGACAATGTTATCTTCCATTTGTTTAGTTGACAGCTACCAGATCATGTGTAAAAATATAAACCAGTGGGTGATCAGTCAAGTGGTGGATACACTGTATGAGAATTAATGGTAAGTTTGAGATTTCAGTGTTAAGAAACTACCAAAGTTACCAACTGATGAACTGAATGATGCAAAGAAGTAGGATGTTCTTGCTCTTAATATTCTTTCTTCCTTTATTTCCTTGAAAATTAGAAAGCTTACAATTATTCTCTATTAGCAAGTAACCTGGTCTGTGGGTTGCTTATTTATTTTAAAGCATTCGGTTTCATCTTATGTCTTTGTAGTCCTTCTGGCTATCTGTAATCACAAATAGCTAGTTAATAAACTAGGTGTGGCATTAGGAGATTGCAATATTTCTGTAAACTGAATCAAGATAAAAAGTATGGTAAAACAACTGAATTTTCACCTATTAATTTTTGTTCTTGGTGTCAACAATTATGGGTCCCTGTAATTCCCAGACATTAGAGACAATTTTGTGTACATTCTGATTGCTTCTTAAAACTATATATAATATGAACAGGACCAACTATTTTTAATATTGCATGCTAAATAGGAATCTATATTATGCAGAAAAAAGAAGATGAATGCAAATTCTTACAACTTTTTTCCCAAATTTGACTGCACAACTGCACATGGGTTTTATCTGTTGCTAAAGATTGAACTGCTAATGACTCTCATCCATTCAAGGTTCAGATGAGCCCAAATTAAGTGCACAGTAGCTCAGGCTATATCAGTGCAGAAAGTTTTTTAAATGTTAATTATAATCAAACCTAAAGCCATTTTGTCTTTTAAAAAATCCAAAATTCTGAAGTTTTACACCAGAGATTAATTGAGTCAATCAGAAAAGGTGGCAAAAATAATTAAATTCATAAACGTAGCATAACCTAATGAGGACATTCACTTTCTTTTTAAAATGCCATTATTACTGCTCCATTCTCCTCACAGAGAGATCGTTATTTTTATGTATTAAATGCATAGATGAAACTATTTCGTTCCATTTTTAAATCAAATTTTAAACAAGAAAATAATTGAAATACATAAAGAACACAAACTCCAAAATGAAGAAGACAAAAGAAAACTAAGTAAAACCTAGCAAAATGATAGAATGGCTAATAGCAGCATTTTGAATCATCATATTATGCCATACCATGGCATGTATTTGATTTAGCATTCGCAAATCATGCTAAGATTTTAGATTAGTATTTTTTTAATGGATGTCACTGTAGTGAACTAATCAAAAAAGGTATACCGGTATGTAATAGAACAGAGTAAATAATAATGGGGAAAAGAAGGGCTGGTAAATTATGTTTTTTAAAAACTGTAAAAAAATGTCATAATATTTCTGGAAAGTCCTCAAATGTTGACATATCAATAGTCCCTTGCTGCAAGATATTTCTACTTATAGAGTTATGTTCGATCATTTAGTTACAGTTTTTTTTAAAAAAATTTATTTATATGCCGCCCTTCTCCGGAGACTCAGGGCGGCTTACAATGCGTTAAGCAATAGCCTTCATACTTTTGTATATTTATACAAAGTTAGCTTATTGCCCCCATAATCTGGGTCCTCATTTTACCTACCTTAGAAAGAATGGAAGGCGGAGTCAACTTGAGCCTGGTGAGATTTGAACTTGCAGTAATTGCAGGCAGCAGATGTAAGTGGATGTTATTAGTCTGCTGAGCCACCAGAGCTCCTAGTTGAGTTGTAGCATCTCAAGAAGGATCTTAGAAATTGAAACTTGGTGAAGAGAAAAATTCCTTCTGAAACAGTAGCTTCAGTAGCTTCACTACAATATCATAAAAATGATCATGGTTTAAGATTCCCCTGTGGTTAAGTTGTATTTTCTAGAATAGAACAATGTTTACGGGAGGGAGGGAGGGAGGGAGGGAGGAAGGGATTTATATAGGTGTGTGTCAGGGGTGGGTTCTACTTACCTTTACTACCGGTTCGCAACGGGATTTGCCGTTCACTGAGCTTTGCTCTCTTGCGCGCCTTGCTTCTACGCATGCACAGATGACGACATCCGGGGCGGTGGGCGGGGCCTCCCGCCAGTTTTACTACTGGTTCTTGCGAACCAGTCCGAACCGGGGGCAACCCACCACTGGTGTGCGTGTATTGATGCAAAATTGTTGTGTTATTGCACTAACAGTAGTAGCATGTTTTTTTCCACCATTTTTTGGGAGAGGATGGGTTTCGGCTCATACAAGGAACAAGGAAGGGTATATCAGCAAAACTGTTAGCACACACATTAATTTAGCACATCCATATAGAGCATCTAGCCATGTTTGGTTTAGAAAATTCATTGTAACAATTCACTTTTTCAGGTAGAAAAGGCCACCAAGTGCAAAGCTAGTATGTAGTACCTAAGAAGATGTTGGATAACCATTTGTCTGAAGTGGTGTAGGGTTTCCTGCCTAAGCAGAGGGTTGGACTAGAAGATCTCCAAGGTCCCTTCCAACTCTGTTATTCTATTCTATTCCTAAAAAGCAGGCACTAAAAGAGAATTATAGCCTTTACGTCTTTCAGGTGAATTTTTAGAGGACTCTGACCAACCAGTGTTAGAATCAGAATGTTAGATGAGAACGACCAGCCATCCATTACCTGAGACTCCAGGATGTTTCAGATACAACAAGGGTGGCTGGAGATGAGGGGAATAGTGATATAATATCAGGAGGGCCTGTAATAAAAATCACTGGAGAAACCCAGGGTGAGAAGCCTGGGATAAACCTTTACCCTGAACAAGATATATTTGGTGCTAAATATTTTATATCAAAATGTTTTCCTAGACAGGTTAGTAACTTAAGAATAAAGAAACGTGTAATAAGAACATAAGTTTAGCATACAGAGAGTATGATTCATTGCAAGGTCTTTTAAATGGTTGGTGTGATGTGAATATAGATTTTTATTAGCTTGGGGCTGAATGAGCAAGCATTGAATGTTGCCAGGGTCAACATAATTCAAGGTTTTTTAACATCCAGGAGTGCCAATTTAATGTTGACCCACTACTTTATACGTCACCTTTGTAAAGAATGCTGGGCAAGCATAATATGATCATGATAGCACAAATCAATGAGGAAGTGTGCCAAGTACTCCAAAAACAGCTGCCAGCAACAGGACAGCCCTATCAAAAGCCTTGTGATCAATGAGACGATTAATCAAGCCAAGTGTTCACAAGGATATATGTTGCTCTTGCAAGGTCAGCGCAGGACATGTTAAAAAAAAAAATACAGACAGCACATAATGCACAATTATATCAAGCTGCGCATTCTCCACCATGGAAAATGTACTATCCCAAATGCCCCACAGTTCTGACCCTGTTCATTTTCATTGAGCAAGTTCCTTCCACTGTGGTAACCACTGCGGTAGCCAATTTCTGCTTTAGAACAGAAGGCAGAAATTGGCATCATAATCCTCATCATCTATACATTAAACGTTGTAACAGTTTACGTTTGTCCAATTTTGTAATGTTCAAAAGATCTTGCCTGAAGTCTAATAGCAATCCCAAGCTTCCATACAAGAGGTCATATGCTTTTTGGCATTCTTGGACAAGATGCAGTGAGATTTCAAATGATTTGAGGGGGAGAAGGAATTATCTATGTCCCCAGCTGGTAACCTAGTCCTATCTTAAAAATCAAAAGAATATGATAAGTATGATTTCTGTTGCTATGTGGAGTACATGCAAAATATCTAACAACTTCACTGCTTCAGTCAAATGTATACAACAATTGGAACCCTTTCAGGTCTTTACAGAAGGTCAGAAGGAGCAGATCTCACTCTGGAGGGTAAGATCAGGGGTGAAATCAGTGTGGATAAAAATCAATGATTTTTTTAAAAAAATCAAAAAAATCAGAATTTTTTTATTTAAATTGGATTTTTTTGATTTTTATCGAATTTATTTTAATAAAAAACTTTTGGGGTAAAAATCTATCATAAGATAGTTTTCTATTTAAGATACATAAATAATTTAGTTTATTCAGCATGAAATGGAGCTTAGTTATGTAGCATGAGGCTGTATATTCTGCAACACTGGGACTATCGGTGAGTCAACAGTGGATCAAAGGAGTAGCAGAGATGACAGTTGCTCTTTAAAAATTATGATTTAAATTGAGTTGATTTAAATCAAGCCTTTTTACTAGTGATTTAAATCATGATTTAAATTGTGATTTAAATCAACTCGATTTAAATCAAATCCACCCTAGGTGAAATCTAAAAAATTTCGCTACCAGTTCTGTGGGCGGGGCTTAATTAGTGGGTGGGGCTTGGTGGTCAGGTGACTGGGTGGGTGTGGCTTTTGGTCAGGTGGGTGTGGCCAAGTTGATGTCACTTCTTTGCCCTTTTTTAACCTACAAAACACAACACAACACAACTGGCTCAGCCACAATGTAAAAGCAGCTGTGCTAGACCCAAAATGGCCCCTGCAACAAGCAGGAACCTCACACAGCCACAAAAAACCCAAAAAACCAACTTTCACACTTTACACACATACAACACAACACAACACAACTGGCTCACCCACAATGTAAAAGTAGCTGTGCTAGACCCAAAATGGCCCCTGCAACAAACAGGAACCTCACACGGCCACAAAAAGTCCAAAAAACCAACTTTCACACTTTACACACACAAAATTCCACATACAGCTTTGTGAGATTTTGTGTGTTTGTGTAGTTAGAGTGAAACACTACAGAAATACACAAAATCTCAGAAAGCTGCACAAATATTATTTTATTTTATTTTTATTTTTATATAAAAGCAGCTAAATTTAAAACTTCCTAAACTTTAAATGGCTAGGTCTAAAAAAAGAACAACTTAAAAAAAAACCCAATTAACTATTTTTTTTAAAGCTCCCAAAGGGGAAAAAAATTTACAGGCAGGCAGGCAGGCAGGCAGAAAGAGCTGCTCACCGATGAGCTTGATTGCAGGCAGGGAGATTCAGTTGCTTGCTGATGCAATCGATTGCAGGGATTATAGCAAGCGAAGTAAGGCAGGCGTGCGAAGGTAAGCAAGCTGGAGGCTGGGGGGGAAGGGATTTTTGCTACCGGTTCTCCGAACTGCCCGCCGACATCGCTACCTACTCTCTTGAGCCGGTCCGAACTGGGACCATTTCACCCCTGGGTAAGATGTTCCAAAGGGCAGGAGCCATGACAGAGAAGGCTCTTTTCCATGAAAAGGGCATAGCCATAGAGTCCAGTACAAGAGTCCAGTACCGTAAGAGAAACAAGTAAAAACTTTCATGCAATTTTTCTCTCTCTATCTCTTCCCCATCCCCGTCTCATCTCAATTAATAAATTTATGCTTCCTAGCAGCAAAATGAAATATAACACATACGTACAAAGCAGTCTATATGCTCTAGCTTATGCTGTTAAGGTTAAGAGAAAGAATTACAATTTATGTCCTGCTAAGATTCTTTAAAGCAGAGGTGATTTCATGGAAGGCCATATCAGGGTTGTGTTTGACCTCGGCGGGCCAGGGGGCATGGGGTATGGCTGGGGGTGGGAGTGGTCATGTTAGGTGTGGCTGGGTGGGCATGGCCAAGATGGGTGTGACACAGGACTCGTGTCAGGGGGGCACCTATGGTGGCCAAGTGCTAACTTCCCTCAGGCTCTCTCTCACTCCCATAATACTCTTCTTTCTTTCTTTCTTCCTTTCTTCCTTCCTTCCTTCCTTCCTTCCCTCCTTCCTTCCTTCCTTCTTCTCTTCTTTTTCCTTCCCTCTTCATTCTAATTTCTTCTTCCATCTCCTCTTTCTTTCTTTTTTCTTCCTTGCTGTCTTCTCATCTTTTCTTCTTTTTCTTTGTCTTTCCTCTTTGTCTTTGTCTTTCCCTTTCTCCTTTCCTGCCCCATTTTTGCATGCTCAAATGCAAAGGGGGAAACATTTCTCCTTTTGTTTTTGGTTTTGGTAGCCCTCTGTCAGCCAAAACATTTTTGGCCTGGATGGCCTCCTGCAGCACTCTGGCAACCAAAATGGGGTGCGGGGGGGTTGATGCTAGTCGATTTGAAATAAGAATCAGGAAAAATCAGCTTGCTCACAGTTTGACTCTTTCCTCAAGAAAAGAGTTAAAATAACTATACATGTAATCCTTGACTTAGAGCACAATGGAGCCCAACATTTCTGTGGTTAAGCGAGTCATTTGTTAAGTGAGGTTTGCCCCATTTGTTAAGTGAGGTTTGCCCCATTTCTTGCCACATTTGTTGTGAATCACAGCAGTTAAATTAGTAACATGATTGTTAAGTGAATCTGCCTTCCCCATTTTCTTGTCAGACGGTCAACAAGAGGTGGTCACATGACCCCAAGGCACTGCAACTATCATAAATCTGAGTCAGTTGCCAAGCTTCTGAATTTTGGCCATGTGACCATACAGATGCCACAACAGACGTAAGTGAAAACCGATCATAAGAAACTTGGAATGATCATTAAACCAACTGTTGTATGTCAGGGACTACCTGTATAAGGAACTAGAGTCATGCTAGAGTCATCATTCACGTGTTCTAAAGGGAAGTGAATTCAACATTTGAAGCAACTTTTCCATAATTCTTTTGTTTTTTTTATTTAAGGATTGATATGCCACTTTTCAAAACAGATGTTTTTTGCAGAACAATTTACAAAAAATGTACAGACCAGGGGTGGGTTCTACTTACTTTTACTACCGCTTCGCAATACACATGCGCAGATCATCCATTATGATGTCTGGGCAGGTGGGTGGAGCCTCCCGCTCCTTTTACTACCGGTTCGCAAGAACCGGACAGAACCAGGAGCAACCCACCACTGGTACAGACC